GATTTGCCTGGTGGTGATATGCACTTTTTTTTAAATTTTATTTTTTAAGATTTATTTATTAATTATGTATACAGCACCTGCCTGCAGGTATCCCTGCAGGCCAGAAGAGGGCACCAAATCTTATTACAGATGGTTGTGAGCCACCATGTGGTTGCTGGGAATTGAACTCAGGACCTTTGGAAGAACAGCCAGTGCTCTTAACCTCTGAGCCATCTCTCAGCCCCTGTGATCTGCACTTATAGTGCCAGCCGAAGCCAGGAAAGCTGGCACCATCCCTGGAATTGGAGTTAAAGGTGGTTATGAGCCAGAACCAAGTGGGTTCTAAGAACCAAATCCAGGTTGTTTTCAAGAGCAGAAACTGCTCCTAATGGTTAAGCCTCCCATGATCTCCATTTCCATACTGAGAAATTGGTTCTCCAATGAGAACTGGTTTACCTACTAAAGTCCCACAGCTCCACGGTGTAGGAAATCAACATAGATTTGGCTCTGAAAAGAACATTAAAAATGAAATTCTTTATTATATGCTTTCCAGCACTCTCTCTGGAGAGAACTCAATTCTGTGTCCCTGGAAGCATCCCTTTCTGCCTGCTGTCCCCACTTCCTCTCCTTAACCCCCTTCTTCAGTGTGGGCATTCTGGGGTAATGTTGCCCCTTTAGTTCTTGGTAAACATGAGGCATCAAGCTAAGTTTTTCCCAAACTGTCCTGCAGGGCAGAGGAGCCTGGCAGACCTTGGCTATTTGGAGGCAGTAGTCATTTCTCCTAGAAGCAATACTCAAGTGAAAACATATCCCAAATCTCAGCAAGCAACGGACAGGAGGGGCGGGTAATGAGTCAATAGGATGTCAGATGTGTGCTGGAATCTGTATGTCTTTTGCAGGGCTCCCATGGGGATGCGGTCATTCTGGGCATGTCCAGTCTGGAGCAATTGGAGCAGAACTTGACCTGCGTTGAAGAAGGGCCCCTGGAGCCGGCTGTCGTGGAGGCCTTTGACCAAGCCTGGGACCTGGTTGCTCATGATTGTTCCAACTACTTCCACTGGCTCTGACATGGGGAGGTGTAGAGGTCACTGCCTGTCAGGCTGTGTTCCAGCCTGGCTAGTCTGGGCTGTGAGCCGAGTCAGCTGCTCTTTCCCTCCTCATCCAGATCTCCTCCTGTTGAATAAAACCTGCCATGGCTGTAGCTCAGGCTGCAGCAGACCTGGTGGCCTTATTCTTTGAAATTCGTGTGGCTTACTCCTTGCTTTCCTTCTGAGGGTCCAGGAGAAAGGTGCAGGAGTGTGCCTGGTCCTCAGAGGGCAGAGGCCATGGGAGGCCTGCTCTCTAGCAGTGGGACTTGGTGGTGGCTCAAGTCAGAAAAACACCCAGGATCCTTCTGGCACCGGGCATTGCCTTCCTCCCCACCATGGTTCTCCACAGCAGTNAGCCCCCTTAACATGCAGCTTGCTCCCTCACTCCACGGGTTATCCTCTGGAACTCCTGCCCGGGCCTCAAATTGACCAGTTCAGCCACTTCAACACTGACTCTTCCCGGGCAGGGGCTCCTGCTGCCACCTCTCTCTCTCTCTGCCTGAGCTCCACTCAGCAGCTGCTGATGTCCTCAGCCAGCAGGTGCTACTGTGCTGAAGCCGCCTCCTGGGATCCCACTGTCCACTGCACCTGCCTGCCTGCCTGGGCACCCACTCCCCCCTACATTCATTATCGAGTATCCCCGCTGCAGCTGGTTACACCAGGCTCGACCATGGAAGAGCACTGCTTTTGCTGATGCTGTAGCCCAAAAGATTTGCTGGGAGGGCTGGGTAAATATTGAGCCATATTATGTCCAGCTGGGAGGCAAGTGCTTCTTTAGGCAAACTTTTCCTTTCCACCTTAGCAGTATCCAAATAACCCATATGGACACTTTTTGTTAATTTTGAGACAGGGTTTCTCTGTAGCTTTGGAGCCTGTCCTGGAACTAGCTCTTGTAGACCAGGCTGGCCTCGAACTCACAAAGATCCACCTGCCTCTGCCTCCCAAGTGCTGGGATTAAAGGCATGCACCACCACCGCCGGGCATAGACACTTAATATCAACTATAAATTCTCGACTGATAGCTCAGGCTTATTACTAACTAGTTCTGACAACTTAGATTAACCTGTTGCTGCTTGGGGGACCAGCCTCCAGCAGCACAGGGCTCAAAGGAAATCAAGAGTTGATGCACTATAACTTTTTTATTTTATTTTTTTTGGTTTTTCGAGACAGGGTTTCTCTGTAGCTTTGGTGCCTGTCCCGGAACTAGCCCTTGTAGACCAGGCTGGCCTCGAACTCACAGAGATCCGCCTGCCTCTGCCTCCTGAGTGCTGGGATTAAAGGCGTGTGCCACAATCGCCCTGCGCACTATACCTTTTTATCTGAGGGGTTAGAGAAAAATATCCTTGCTCTCTCTCTTGGTGGTTTCTTTCAGACCTTATCTTTATTCTTCTTTAGCATTCTCCAGTCTTTATTATGCTGGTGAGTTTCTTCTCTCATTTATTTATTTATTTATTTATTTATTTATTTATTTATTATGTATACAATATTCTGTCTGTGTGTATGCCTGAAGGCCAGCAGAGGGCATCAGACCTCATTACAGATGGTTGGGAGTCACCATGTGGTTACTGGGAATTGAACTCATGACCTTTGCAAGAGCAGGCAATGCTCTTAACCTCCGAGCCATCTCTCCAGCCCCCCCAATCTAAGTTTAATAAGTTATTTTCAAAGACTTATTTCCGGTAAGAAGCACTCTGTAACCTGTGACCACATCTCCCAACATTGATATTAAAAGGATCTGAGCCAGCCTGGCTCCTGGGGACTCAATTGTTTTCTTTTTTCTTTTTCTTTTTTAAATATTTATTTATTTATTTCGTATACAATATTCTGTCTGT